TCCCTCGCTGTGTCAACATCAGAAGGGCGCACACACATCCTCTTGCCCAACGCCAGTATAGAGAGAGGAGGAGACAGGAGCCCAGAGGGAGGAAGGTGCCTGCCAAGCTCGCACAGCAAACGAGTGGCAAGCCAGGATTTCAGCGCAGGGCTCCCCGTTTGCCATCTGCTTGAGGAGACTGGCAGATAGCTGGATCCTGGGTGTCTCTGCTCCCCTCCCCCCCGTTCCCCCAGCCACACACACAGCACACTGTGTACCTCTCAGGGCCCCTGTCTGCTTGGCTGCCCAAGTGACAGAAATGGCTTCTAGCCCTTTTGCCAGCTCTGGTCCCTCTGAGGAGGCCACTACAACTGGCAGCCACCTGGGGAGCGGGTGGGGGAGGGCTGATATGAGACCAGAAGAGGTGGCCTCTCCACTCAGGCTCCCTGCCAGTGAGTCCGTTCTGACTCGTGGCCTCCCTATAGGACAGAGTTGAGCTGCCCCTGCCGGTGCTCGAGAGGGAATGGAGAGCCTCGCCTTTCCCCCTCGGAGCAGCTGCTGGTTTCTACCTTCTGATCTGTGGTCCACGGCCCAGCTCGTGACCACGCACCACCAGGGCTCTCGGGAGGAAGAGGACGTGCAAGGTCTCCTGGCAGGCCGTCCGAGAGGCCTGAGACCTCGACGTCTGAAGCGAGGGGCTGAGTGTCGACTTCAGGCCGAGCCTCTGCCAGGTGCCTGTTCGTGCCCACACCTGGCACCCCCATGTGACCTCAGCAAAACAATGCCTAGCCTTATGCCATTTTTTTTTCTATTTTTTAATTGTCAAAAAATACATGTACCAGAACATTTCACAGTTCTCACACAGAGTACAACTGAGGGATAGCCTCCTCATCGTTGCTGCCCAGTCCCCCATCCCCATCAACAGAAACCCACTGCTTGCCAGCCCCCTTCGTGGGCGTTGCGATGTTTGCATCCAGCGGGGCACCTCTCTGTCTAGAAGATTTTCAGGGAGCCCTGCTGGAACCTGCCCACCATGGGTGACCCTGCTGCTATTTGAAACACCCGGGGCAGAACGACAGCCTCATCGCAACACAGAAGCCACCGCAGGGCAACAAACGGACTGATGGGTTGTGACTGCCAGGAGTGGGGGGTGTCAAACGGAAGTGGTCTGTCCTCCTGAAACTTCTACTCATCAGTCAGATAGGAGCCATTGAGACCACATCCTCCCCCACCCCCTCCTGGGGCGCTGGAAGCTCTGCAGCTGTTCAAAGGCTATGCTGTTCCCACCTGCAGCCAAAGGGGGCCTGGTGGGCAGGAGGCCAGGCTGACTCCACAAAGGCTAAGACGCAGGAGCTGAGCTCCGTCTTCTTGGCTCCTGGCAGCATGAACTTCAGGACGGCTGCCCATCTCAGAGATGGGGGAAGCTGAGGCCAGCATTGATGGCTGGCATCCTTCCACCAGGGGCTACCTTTGTCATCATGTTGTGAATGCCAAAATCTATCAAGAGCGCTGGGCGTTTGGACCCTGCCCTTCCTCCATCTGAGTCCCCGGTGGGGGCCCCTTGGGTCTCCACCCCTACCTCCTTCCTGCCTGTACCTCAGCCAATGGGCTGTGTCCAGGGTTGCTCATCCTGAAACGACTGTTGCTGGAGCCCCACCCACGCTGAGATCAGACACCGGAAAAGGAGAGGGGCACTCTGATACCAGGGAGGGGCATAACCCAAATCCCTAGGGGCTCAGAGTCACCGCCCCCCCCCCCCCCACCCAAGGGCTCAGCTACTCCGGGAAATCAGGTATGTACTCCAGCAGGATGGAAGGGCTCCCGGGTTCATCTGCAATGTGAACTGTCATTATGGCTCTGCTCCCCTGCTTGGTGACCTCTGGAAAGGAGACAGAGGGCTGCAGGGAGGTGTCTTCACAGACCCGGTAACCTGTCTGCAGCCCCAAGGAGGTGAAGAGAATCATAGGGTCGAGGGCCTGGTTTAGAGGGACAGGTGGAGAGCTAGCGGAACGCTTCAGAGCCCTGGATTTAAGCTAAAAGGAGTAACAAGGACACGGTTAATGGGCTTCATTAAAAAAAAAAAAAAAAAAGTGCAGTCTTGAAGGCCCACAAAATCATGGGGGGACAGTTTGACCAGAGAGGGTTAGACCAAGTGCCGTCTGGAAGGAGTTCCCCTGGGCTCGCATCCTGAAGGATGCACACGGGGGTAAAAGCTAGGCAACATGTGTCCAAGCTGTCCTGCCCAGCCAGGGCTTCCAAGCAGCTCAGTCCATCTGACACCCCTCCACTCCCCACCTCCCCACCACCACCACCCACCCCTGACAGAGTATGCCTTTCCACCCCAGAGGGACTGTATCAGAATCTATATTTCTGTCTACCTGAGAAACCCCTGGGGGTCTATAAGAGGCGTGTCCACACAGGCTTTCTTTAGGTACCAGCTATGCTCTTGGGGCTTTAGAACCCTGCTGGTACAGTGGCTTAAGTGATGGGGTGCCAACCAAAGGCTCTGTGGGAAAAAAATGAGGCTGTGTACCCCCACAAAGATTTACAACCTCAGAAACTCCAAGGCGCAGAACTATTCCGTATCCTGTAGTATCACCATGAGTCTAAATCAACCTGAAGACCCCCGGGGTTTGTAGTAGACTCCTCAGAGAACACGGGGTTCAGCATGCCAAGTAAAGTTTGCTTTACAGCTGCTTCTTACATGCTGTTACTGACAGGGAGCTCACTACCACCACCAGGCATCATCCTCCCACAAGGCAGCTTATCTCTTTCGGGGACAGCCCTGTCTGACACCACCCTTCACAGTGATGCTTCTCCTTGAAATGTCTACTCTTGGTCACAGTCCTGTCCTCTCTGGCTGCAATGGCATGTTCACTGTTTCACCCTAGCTTCCTGTGGTGCTGTGAGGACGGAGGGTAGGTTTCTGGCTGAATTCTCACAGTCGGCCATTAGCAAGCCCTCCTCTCACAGTTTCAGCCCCCTCCCCCATCTGTCAGCCCCTTTAGGCACGTTCATTTTTCCACCTCCCCTCTAAAAGCAGAGCTTTATTCATCTAGGGGCCCAGCCGGAGCTGGTCTGGTTTCTGCCCCGGGCTCTTGTCCTCTCACTGTGTCCTCATGGCAGCCCTAACCTAGCAGACCAGAGCTGTTTTCCGTAGAACCTAGCAGAAGGCTCAAGTTTGCTTGGCAACAAGGAGCTGGGCCTCAGAGCTGTGTTTGTTATTTCTGTGCAGCTTAGCTTGTTTTGTTTGTTTGTTTGTTTGCTTGCTTGCTTGCTTTTCCATTACTGTAGCGCCAATTCCAACTCATGTCAACCGACGTGTGTCGGCACGGAACGGAACGGAACGGGCTGCAGTGTCTTATGGAACAGGCTCTCCAGGGGCTGGTACTTCAGAAGGACATCACCAGGTCTTTCTTGTGAGATCCCTCTGAGGGTCTGGACCTTCCAGCCATCCAGTTGGCAGTCAGGCACAAAGCCACCTGTAGCAGCCAGGGACTCGGCCAGCAGCAACAGGAGGAAAACGGTCCTGGAGCCTGGACCAAGGAGAGCATCTGCTCCAACCCCGGCCCTTTGCCGATGGGGAAACTGAGGTCCAGAGGTGGGGAGGGACTTACCTAGGTCACACAGTCAAGGCAAACCTAGGTCTCATGGCTGCTGCTCCAGTCCTGGGTTCTCCCCATGTCCTGTACTGGCAGCTGCCTTCTTGGCAGCTTTCTGGCTCCCAAGTTTCCATTGAACTCAGGAAGCGGCACCAGCCCTGTTCTAGAGCTCAAGCCGGATGCCCCGCCCCAGCCCCAGCCACCCCTCTTCTATTGGAAGGGGAAATCCTTGTACGGCATCCCTTCCACCTCCATCCCTTCAACTCCAACTCTGCCCCTTCACCTCTGAGGAGGAAGTGGCTAGGGCCATGCAGTGGCTACTCATTAAAGAGCCCTGGTGGCACTGCGAGTAAGCATCGGACTGCTAGCCACCAGGTGCTCCGTGGGAGAAAAGGAAGGCCATCTACTCCCGTAGATATTTACAGCATCGGAAACCCGACTTGGGGCCACTAAAAGTCACAATTGACCCCATGGCAGTGGGCTTAGGTTTGGGGGAGGAGGGGGCTACTTACGGAGTCCTGCTCCAGTCTGCGTCCTTTATCCTCTAGCTGCCGGCATCCCGGTCCCCTCGGAAGAATGGGAAAACCGGAGATTCCCAGCGGTCCCACCTCCTTGGATTCTGTAGGTCTAGAACTGCACCTGGGGATTTGTGTTGAGCAGGCTCTCCAGAGGGTTCTAACGTAGGAGGTCCATAGAGACCACATCCTCAGGAGCACTGTTCTGGGCATCATAACAGACACTAGACGGACCCAACTGAATTTTAAAACTCGCCCCTCTCCTCAAGGGACCCCAACAGCTCACTCAGTCGTTCATCTCTTGGAGGAAATGGGAGTCTGAAAAAGAAAGACAGGGCTTGGGGAGGCGGAAGGGAACGGAGCCTGGAGGCCCCAGGAGGGCTTGCAGGGTGTCACACCAACATGGTCTTGAGCAACCTGGGAGGCTTGTGTGCTGAAGCCGGCAGTACCAGAGACAGCACTAGGTCGCTTTGATTTTGTTTGGGCCTAGCAAACGGGCCTACGTGAACAACACACACACACACACACACACACAAGGAATGATATTCCACGGTGGCAAAAGCTGCAGAGAAATGGGCTTTCTTCTGTGCCACTGGCGGTAGAGTCGCATGGTACAACCTTTGGGGAGAAGGCCAGAAAACCAAGCCGCACGAGCAGCAGGCCACTTCTGCAGCCCATGGCAACCCCGGTGTGCCTCGGCAGCAGAACTGGGCTCCACGGGGTCTCCAATGACTGACTTTTGGGGAGTGGGTAGCCAGGACCTTCTTCTGGACCCCTCTGGGTGATCTCGAACCTCACCCCTCCAGGTAGCAGCCGAGTTCTTACCATTGGTGCCACCCCGTTGATGACCCTTTTGGAGAGTGGACTCAGTCAGTTTCAAGGAGTGCAAATTGTCATCCACCAGGGTACTCACGGGCGCCTCACGAGGAAACCAAACATTGCTCAGCAGCAGACTGGGGCTGGAACGGCTGGGCTGTCCGTTGCGGTGTTGCTGGCCAGAGCTAGTGCAGTGAACACAGAGACCGGGCCGTGCGCGAAATGCTCACATTTGAAAAAGGTGAGATGTAGGGAGATGTACATAATGTTCCCATACTGTGTGCAGACAAGATCTACCACCATGTTCCAGGTGGTGTCTTTAAATCACACGGTTTTCTTTTCATATGTTCCATATACGGTCATCAGAAAAAGATGTTTGCTGATATGTCCATGTTAAGAACATGGAGGAAATGACTCACTGGGATTAGACAGTGAGGAGGTTTGAGGGTCTCTCTAAAGCAGTTCTCAACCTGTGGGTCATGGCCCCTTTGGGGGTTGAAGGACCTTTTCACAGGGTTCGCCCGATTTGCAACAGTAGCAAAATGACAGTGATGAAGTAGCAACAAAAATAATGTGATGGTTGGGGGCTCACCACAACATGAGGAACTGTATGAAAGGGTTGTGGCATGAGGAAGGTTGAGAACCACTGCCCGGCTTATCCTGGGGGCAATTTCTCAGAATCTGGGGACTCAGACATGAGGCCTAGACGCTGTTAGTGGAGAAGACTTTTACCCCTTCTGAGGGGAGTCCCTAAGAATTCCCAAGGAATCCTGGGGGCGGAGTGAGTGACACTGTGGCCAGCTAACGTAGCAGTTCAGACGTGTTTGCCGGGAGAAAGGCGAGGCTGTCTGCTGCAGTAGAGATTTATAGCCTTGAAAGCCGGAAGGGAAGCCCTACTCTGTCCTCTAGGGCCACTGCGAGTTGGGCTCGACTCGATGCTAGTGGGTTTGGTTGGTGAGGGAGACCCTGTGTGGTCAGCTATTAACCCGAAGGTTGAGTATTTGGACTTCTGATAAGATAGCTAACCAGGCAGACCCTTAGTAAACAAACAGTCCTGAGGTCTACTGGAATAGATGCCCACGATAATCCTGGAACCCTGAGCTTTGGAGGAAAGGGTAGAGAAGTGTTTTAAATACTAAGAGGAGATGCTGAAATGACAAGAGAGGAGACAGACAGGAAACCGATAGGTAACCAATAGGTGTTGGCTAGCCTGACGTGGCGGGACTATCTTGAACTTTTGCAGGCAGTATGATAGCCAGACAGCAGCCTGGTGCACTGGTGACTAGTGACAAGAAAAGTGTCCCCTATACCCACCTGCTGATCAGAACCAGTCCCCACTCTCCGCCCTGCAGCAGCACAAAGCCCCTGGCCTGCCTGAGCCTGGAGCCCCACACTCATGGATCAGGCCTTCTGGTAGACTGCCCCTGCCCCTGGATTCACATGAACGCCCCCTCACCAGGCCAGCAGAACATGCAGCGTCAGGTCCTTGACCACCCATAAGGACAACAACTCCTTCTATCACCAGCCACCCTGCCCCCAGCTGCCCGCTGCGCCTGAAAGAATTCCTTCCAGGAATGAGCCCCCTGACCTCTGTCACCATCAAAGGTGGCACAAACTACATCTGGATTGGCAGTCCTGACCCCAGCTCACAGTGTCCCACCCGCCCCAGCCCCGCCCGGGAGTTCCCTCGCTGGCAGTGCTGGGGGCTCTGCCCTCACACCGGCCTGTGGGCGAGTTCCCTCCTCTCCCGTCCCTGGTCTTGTTTATCTTCCCTCCTGTGCCTCTGCTTCTCTGTTCTCTCCTCTTCCTTGCTCTTTCTCCAGCTCACCCCCCCCAGTTTTGCGATGCTTTGATTGCTTTTCCTTGTTTCACTCTTCTTTTGTCTAGTCTTCCTTTCAGGTAGTAACTGATTTGCTTCTTATTGCTGTTTACCTGCGATCCCCTGCTTGTTTTCCTTCATTGGAAACATTAGTTCAATCATTTCTTTTTTGAATGTTGTCTCTTTTTCTCGTTTTGTTGTTGTTGTTTTTCTTGTCCCACCTGACAGAACACAGACTCCATGCTCACACAGCCCAGCCTCATCCATACCTCCTGCAGCCACACCACTGGGAGAAGGCCCTGACCCCTCCTCTAGCATCAGATTCTCTCTAGACAGCCGGAAACACCAGCCAAAGCTGCTTCCCTCAACTGTAGTGTGCACACACATGCACGCTCTCTGTTCACTCACCAGGGAACAGGTAGTGAGTGGCTAAGGCCTTCCAGCATAAAATCCTCACGTAAATACCAATCACCACCACCACAAGGTCTAGAGATCATTTTAATCTGCCAAACTCCAAACTCACAGCCATCGAGTGACCTTATAGGACAGGGTAGAACTGCCTCTGTGAGTTTCTGATGCTGTAACTCGACAGAAGAAGAAAACCTTATCTTTCTCCCGAAGAGCAGTTGATGGTTTCAAACTGCTGACCTTGCAGTTAGTCGGCCCAACACATAACTGCATTGTTGGGCCACTATGCCAGCAGAGCTTCCAATTTCAGTCCACACAACAAAATGAAATACAGAATGACCAATACACAGAACCAGAATACATTTTTCAGGAAGAAAAGACACTGGACCTACCTCAATAGGAATTCAAACGAATGGCATTTAGACTTCTTGACTATTGCTTCTCGGTCTTTTGGCTAAGATCTAGTGTAGACGTCTTTAACAGACTGAAAGATTGAGAACACTGTAGACAAAATCAAGAAAAACGGCGGGGGGGTCTAGAAAATTTCAGGAAAACACTATAAGTACAAACCAACAAAATTAGTGAAAAAGTAGAAACCATAAAAATGGAAATCCACAAGATTAATACAAAGATTTCAGAAATAGAATACATTGAACAAGCAAAGGTACAAGTTGGATCAATGGAAGTCAGGATGAGCGAGCTTGAAGACAAATCTCGCAATATTAATCACTAGAAGAACCATAAAAAATCCAAAAACAATCTAAGAATTGTGTGGGACATCATCCCATGGAATAACTTTTGTGCAATTGGAATCCCAGAACAAGAAGAAACAACAAGCAGCACAAAGAAATGTGTTGAAGAGTTGTAAAATGAATACTTCACTAGCGTCATTCAAGATAAGAAGTTGGCCATTCAAGAAACCAAGCAAACCCCAAACAGAACAGACCCCAAAGAAAATCCTCACAAAATATTATAATCAAATTTTCTAAAGGAAAAATTCCTGAGAGCAGCTCAGGAAAAGTGAAAGTTAACAAAGGGTAACCAATAAGACTGAGTCCTGATTTGGGGGGCAGAAACCTTGAAGGTGGAAAGATTATGGAATGATACATAAAATTCCGAAAGAAAAAAAATGCCAACTAAGCAAAATTATCCTTCAAATTGACACTTTCAAATAAACAGAAGTAAAGAAATGTAAAAAATCCAGAGCAACCTGACAAGAAAACCCAGGGGAGTTCTTTGAACAGAGACAACAACCTGAGCAGCACAGACATGACAATGCCGTCCAGAATTCAGCCCAGATATAGAAGCGTCCAAAGTAAAACACACTTTAAGACTGAAAATAGGGAGCCAGAGATAACAGTTGATAGCCAAGACACTTGTAGTGTAAAGAGAAGGAATAATGCAGTTACAGAGTTTCCAAATAGAGAGTAAGTCAAGGAAATCTCAAGATAGGACAGGCGGTTTTAAGCTTGGGAAGGAATTGAGGAAAGAAACCGGCAACTCTATAAAGGTGGGCGATTCCAGTGCACCGTTTTCAATGAAGGACAGACCAACCAGGAAAAACCTCAACCAAGCCAAGACTCAGAAGAACTAGACCACACGATGAATCAATTTGACCTCCCAGGCATACGTACAGCACTCCACCAACCACAGCACAAGGCACACACTTTTCCAGGACACATGGCATCTCCTCCAGACTAGACCACGTGGTAGGCCACAAAGCAAGCCTCAGATTTTTTTTTAAATATGAAAATATTCCAAAGGTCCAAGGTTTGAGTCTACAAGACGTACCTTGAGTCTACAAGACGTACCTTGGCAATCTACTTCCAAAGAACCAGACACTGAAAACCCTATGGAGCGCAGTCCTACAGGGACTCTTGTGGGGCTGTCATGAGTCAGTCAACCTGACGGCCATTGGTTACTGGTTTGTAGCGGTTATTATTTGGGAGAAGACAGTTTATGATCTTGAGGACAAAACGGGAAGTCCCAAAGCACTGTGATGTCTCTGTTCCTGCCAGGATTCTCAAATAGACAATAATCGCCTGATGCAGTAGCTGAGCTCTTAGTGAGAGCAGGCAGTGTAAGTGCATTATCTCCTCTGGTCCATAAAGCAGCCTGATGTGGGGCCAAAGCTTAGAGAGGTCACAGTCAGACAGTGATGGGTCCTACTTTGGAACCTGGTGATTCTAGAGCTGCTTGGTTCTTACCCATGCTGTTCTGTAGCCTCTGTCTTGAGACCTGGGTCCTAGTGCTGGTTAGACATTCAGGCACAGTGTGGCTGTATCTCTCCCTCTGGAGCTCAGTGTCCTCGGCTTGTCCAAGTTAACAGAAGAGCCAGGACTGGGATCCAGGAACTCCCCCTCCCATGATAACACAGCCCAGGGTCCTTAACCAGTGGCTTCCGCTGGGAAGAGACTTCCTCTGGCTTTTTTATGCCCCTCCCTTCTGCAGCCCAGGGGAGAGGCTGGCTCCTCTCATGCCACCGGATTCCTTTGCTGACAGCTTCACTGGGACAACCTAGGAAGG